TTGTTGTGTGTGTGTGTGTGTGTGTGTGTGTGTGTGTGTGTGTGTGTGTGTGTGTGTGTGTGTGTGTGTGTGTGTAGCACTGTTACGACTTCTCTGAGCGGACATGAACGTCGACTGGAATGGACATGTAAATCGCAGTGTTGGACTGCATTTTCAACAAAGTCATTTAGACTATTAAACAAACGAGAGACATTGGCAGCGGCGAATATGGACAGAACACGATGCGAAGGAGTGCCGCGATGTTTGCGAGCACACACACACACACACACACACACACACACACACGCAACCCAGCACAGCATTCACCACCTTCCCCATTCCCCATGTGCTTGCAGGCAACCTCACCACGCCACCGCCCGACCAATGCAAGCGCTATTTGCGCATGTGCTTGAGCATGATGGCCTCAAGTCGCGCCTGCCGCTGCTCCGGTGTCAGTCGCGGCTTGCCGGCACGCTTCCTGCTCAGGCGACGATGGTGATTTGGGAGGGGATGATGGTGATGGTGGTTGAGGCGTATGATGGTTGAGGCGTATGATGGTTGAGAGTGGTGGGTGGGAGCAGCGGGGCGTATTAGAGAGAGCGCGCGCATCTAAGATGCACGTACATAACACACATACATGTAACACACATAACACAACAAATGCACACACACACACACACACACACACACACACACACACACACAAGCACATAACACAGCAAATACACACACATGACACGTACGATTCGTGCTTGCTGCTGTCCTTTGCGGTGTCCTCCTCCTTCTCGTTCTGCTTGGGTTTGCTCTGCCTGACACCGGCAACCTGCTGCTCAACCGCTTGCGTCACACTCGCCTGTGATTGCACACGCGCAAGGGTTTCTTGCGTCAGGACGTCCCGTCCGGCAAACGGCGCACTCTTGCTGCTCCCTGGTGGGCGGTGATGATAGGGGCGGGGCCGGGTAATGAAGGCGTAGATGGTGGTGGTGGTGGTGGTCATGTGTGAGAGAGGCAAAAGGACAAGGGGTGACAGGCGCTAAAGAAGCACGTTGGAGGTGTATGGTTGGAAACATCAAGCAGGAGCACAATGGCTCGCAAACTGAGGGTACCTCACACACTCTCTGTTACGCACACGCGCGCACGCACGCACACACACACGCACGCAAAGATAGACAGACAGTCAGACAGAAACATTCACACACACACACACACACACACACACACACACACACACACACACGCACGCACTCACTCACTCTCTCATACATACACACACACCACCACCACCACCACCATCACAAGTGTGAGCTGCTGACCAATACGGATGACGATGCAGGAGCCTGGGCTGACGTCTGCGAAGCGGTGGCGCGACGATCGCGGATATGGGCGGCGCGGCGGGGCCGTGAACAGCAGCACCTCATCACGGCGCTCTGCACGCACATACTGGTCGAGCAGGGCATACGCGCTCGCAACTCGCTCCTGGCGTCGTGGATGGTGGGAGTTGGGGTGGTGGTGTGAACGAAGTCACAGCGGGCGTACAAACAAGCAGATGAGAGACGCGTATTTGCACACCCACACCCACATACAAACGCACACGCACACACACATGCACAACACACACACACACATGCATACACACACATACACGCTGGCATACCTCTGGGAGGAAGCGTGCCTGGATAACGGTTCGATCGCTGAATGTGAGACGGACAACAACCGCATTCGGCGGCGGCACACGCTTGGCCTGATGAACGGCGGCAGGATGGTCATCGCGCGCAATGCAGTGGTGTTGTTATTTGTTGGTGGTTGCGCAGTGGCGCAACGAGTGTGCGATGGCAGGAGAACGGAAGAACAGACGGTGCAGACAACGCACCTCCTCTTTCTTCCGTCGCGCCACGGCGCTTGTCAAGGGCTGCTCGCCACTGTAGCCGACATGTAGCAAAGGTGGAGCAGCATGAGACATGACAACGGCAGCAGCAACAGTACCAGCAACAGCAAACAGCAAGAGCAAACAGCAACAGTACCACCACGGCGCACAAAGCAGCAAGAACTTTCCACGGAGAGCAGCAGCACTGGGCAAGCATCATCATCTGCGCTTACATGGGCTTGTCTGGTATCATAGCCATGACCTCGTTGCGGGAAACGTCAAAGAATTGCTCGGGCAGCGGGGCGCCTGTCAAGCACGATGCAACGGCAAGTGCATGCACAGTTGTCAGTGTAGACAACGCGTGGTACAAAGGTAAGTGCGACCGGAGACATGGAGGACCTTTGTAAGGAAGAACGCAGGTCCCTCGGCGAGAGACGAACAAGCGTATGCACATCATTCGACTCACTTGTGGGCGCGTGCGCTGCCGATTCCGCAAAGAAGAGCACCGGCTGTCTGTCACATGCTGGCACACTGCAAGCGTCACACACACACACACATACATACACACATACACACACACATACATACATACATACATACATACATACATACACACACACATACCCACATACACACATACATACACACACATACATACATACACACATACATACACACATACATACATACATATACAGCCATTGGTAACGGAAGCAGGGTGAGAACGCCATGTGCTTTGCGTGCTTGGCGCAACGTGTGGCTGTCATCAGCTTCAAACTGATGGCGTTAGAAGGTGCAGGCCCGTGCACACAAGCAAGACACGAACGCATGTGCGTGCACTGACCCTTCTTCTTGTGCCTGTTCCGCTTTTGCTTTCTTCACGTGGCGCTTCACTGTCGTTGCTGCCTCTTCTCCCTCAGATGCAGGGAATTTGAAGTTCTGAGCAAGTTGCACAGCAAACAGCGTGTATGAGTTTCGGAAAACAATCGTAAAGATGCACATGTGTTCCCACAATGCACATCCGCACCAACAACAAACAAACACACAAACAAACAAATACACAAACAAATACACAAACAATTGCGCACCTGGTAGTCGACGGGTTCGTGCTTCTCGTCCGGGTTGTACCTGCTTGAAGGAAGCAGGTGGTAGGCAATCCCATCATCCGCAGACACTTGCGTGAAGACGCGCTTCTCATCGTCCACCATGCTTCTTGCTTGCTTGCTTGCTTGCTTGCTTCAGGTTTGTCAGACAGCAGTTATTCTCGGTCGATTTTTGCTGTCGCATAAACTGCCCAAGACGCGACACACAAAGGTGTAGTGGAACCAGTGCGACCTGCGACGATGGACAACAGCACCAGCAGCAGTCGTGGTGGCCGTGGTGGCGGACAGAGCAGCAGAGGCAGGGGTGGCCGCTGTGCTGGCCGCGGTGCTGGTCGCGGTGCTGGTCGCGGTGCTGGTCGTGGTGGCGGCACTGGAAGACGTGGCCGTGGAAGCCGTGGTGGAAGTCGGGGTGGTCGTGGCGGCCGTGGCGGACGAGGCGGACGAGCTGGTGGTGGCGATCAGCGCCACGTCGACTATCAAAACTACAACAACAATGGCAGGCAGCCATTCTCGGACGACGGCACGTCGTCTTACCATCAGGCGGCAGACCAATACCACCATGGGGCCGCATCGTATGATCCCACAGCGCCTTCCACGCCGCCTTCCACGCGCAGGAACAGGCGCCGAAACAACCGCCGTGACGGCGGACGTGGCAACCGGCACAGTGGTCGCGGCAGCGGGCGTGGTGCGAACGGCCACACGCCACAACACACGCCATCACGTGGCACCCCGCCGCGTGGAGGTCACAAGCAGCACCATCGTCACCACAGCCCAGCCCCGGTTCAGGGCCAGCAGCCATCTTCCCACGCTTCATCGCACAGATCGCCGCGCCACAAGCCTTCCGTGTTTGATCGGCTGGACACCAACCCGGCAGCAAGTGACCATGGGCGACAAGCGCACAGCCGTACGTCCGCCTACCAGCACCACCATCAGCGGCACCAACAACAGCAGAAGCAGCAGCAGCACCATCAGCAGCAGCAGCAGCAGAAGAAGAAGAAGCATACGAAGAAGAAAGCACCTCAACAGCAGCAACAGCAGCACCAACAGCAGGAACAGCAACACCAACAGCAGCAACAACAGCACCAACAGCAGCGCCAGCATCATCATCATCATCCGCATGCAAGCCCTCGCACTCAGCACCACGATGCAAGGCACTCTGCCGATAAGAACGCCATGAGCTCGGGCGACAAGAACGCAGCGCACGCCTCCCACCGATCCCCACATGTGCAGCACTTTCCGACGACAGTGGTGGGTTACCATCATGGGATGGCACACTTTGCGCATTGCTATGATCTTCACCCAGCGCCTGATTGCGGTTTACACGCGACTTCTGTTTGCACACTCTCACACGACCTTACATGAGCTGTCTTGTGTCACCTCACGCCAATATGCTCGCTCATGTGTGCACAGGACGTCATGTCAACAATTCCTCCGCGCCCTTCCCAGGAGCAGTTTGATGCCCTCTCCCAAGGGCTGCAGCGGCACTTTAATCACACGGTGTGTATTTGTGTTGTGTGTGTGTGTGTGTTTGTGGTGACAAGAAGTGCAAAGGCAACATGCGAAGCTCAAGCGTTGCGTTTTGTTGCAACAATTCGTCACACGCATACACGGACACATTCACATACCCATGGACGTTCATGCACTCACTCACACGTACACGCGCACACAACCATCGTACAGATTCTGCCGGCCCATGAAGCGGAGGAGCGGGAAGATTTGGTGGCCGACTATGACGTGCGTACCGTCGCAGTTGTTCGAGTTTGGGACAACACCAAGACGACGCGTTTATGATGCACTGGAAGCTAATTAGCATACAATTGATTGCACACAGGGCCTGCTTGTGATGATAGCAGCAACAAATATACTTTGTCGCACACCCACACACACACACCCACACACACCCACACACACACACACACACACACACACACACACACACACACTGTCTCTCTCTCTCTCTCTCACACACACACGCACACACACACACACACACTCTCTCTCTCACACACACACGCGCACATACTCAATATTATCACACGGTGTGGACAGGCTGCCATTGCGGCGTCGGGCATATTCCCTCGCTGTGCGCGCCTGTTTGCCTTTGGGTCATCTGGCAACGGCTTTGCTGCCAACCACAGTGACGTTGATCTATGCTTGCAGGTAATCGTGGCGTGCTTTGTGATGCATTGTGGCAAAAGAAGTGCAGGTGCTGCTTGAGTCAGCGATGGCGTTGAATAGTTGTTGTGGCTGTTGTGGCTGTGCTGATTATACATGGCCTGATGCCGCATATTACATCGGTTATTGCCACCAACCATCACCACCGCCAACCATCACTACTGCGGCTGTCACCGTTTGGCGTGATCAGGTGGACATTGAGCAGGACGAGTACTTTGTTGACCGCCGTGTGCTCAAATCCGACTACTACTACAGCGAGGACGAATATGGTGATGACGACGACGACGACGACGACGATGATGATGATGATGATGAAGCTTGGGAGGACGATGATGATGATGACGATGAATTGGAGGGCAATGATCATGAAGATGATGATGATCATGACGATGATGATCATGACATGGCTGCGTTGGAGCAACACCTTCAAGGGTTTCAAGTGTCTTCTTCCCCAAACGGCTCTCCTGAGCATGATGGCCACCATAACGATGATGACGACGACGATGATGATGACGATGATGATGACGATGATGATGATGAGGATGACGACGACGATGACAACTTGATGTTGGGCCTCGACACAGCCTCCCTGGGGCTCCCATCTTACATGGTGCTTGATCTCATCCAACAAGCACAACTCGGTGACCCCACGGCGCTTGCTGTCCTCGGCCCAGACGTTGACCTGGACCAATACACCTTTCGGCGCGGGGATGCTCATGATGACTACGATGACTTCACACACCGCATCTAGCCCTTGAGGAGTGGCGTGCTTGCTCGCGCTGCTTGTGTATGTGTGCGTGTGTGCGTGTGTGTCTGTGTGTACATGTGTGTGTCTGTGTACATGTGTGTGTGTTATGAACGGCAGCTCGTTTGTTTGCAATTGGACTTCAGCCGTTTCTTTTGCGTTGCTTCCACGTGATGCGTTGTTGTGCCTTGTTGGCTGCTGCACATAGCATGGTCAGATTGCGTTCGTCTATTTCTTCGAGTACAAAAGGATGGTTGGTGGGATTTCATGCACGCATCACAAACAGTGTGAAGTACCGCGATTACACCCTGCATTAGTGTCGCACTCCACCACCACCACGACCACGACCATCGACATTATCATCACCGTCATCATCATCATCATCTTCGTCGTCACTCTGGTGTAGCTGTGGGCTGGAGAGCGCGCGCAGCACAGCGAGATGGCCTTTGGTATCGCCCACAAACACTGGCAGCCATGTCCAACGTATTGGATGAAGCGGAGAGAGGGAGAGAGAGAGAGAGAGAGAGAGAGAGAGAGAGAGAGAGAGAGAGAGAGAGAGAGAGAGAGAGAGAGAGAGAGAGAGAGAGAGAGAGAGAGTGTGTGTGTGTGTGTGTGTGTGTGTATGTGTGTGTGTGTGTGTGTGAGGTTGACAAGGAAGATCGCAAGGAATAGTAGCAGCAAGGTGATCACACAACACAACACAACACAACACAACACAACACAACACAGCACAGCACAAAATGTGACGACTCACGTGTGAGGGCGGGGTCAGCTGTGACGGCAATGCAGTGGAGAGCACACGGCGCAGCAACAAGATTAGCAAGCAGCGCGCCCTGCACAGTCGACCACACCTGGTATGAACAGCGTTGGTGGTGGGGCAATGTGAGCAAAAACGTGTGCGTGTGTGTGGGTATGTGCAAGTGAGCTGAAAGTACTGCGTCTACACGAACCAACAAACAAACCCCAGCACGCAAACGCACACATAAACAAACATGAACACACACACACACACACACACACACACACACACACACACACACACGCACACACACACACACACACACACACACACACACACACACACGCACACACACACACACATACACACACGCTTCACCTTGATGCTGGCGTCCCTGCTGGCGGTGATGAGGAGGGCATCACGCATGGCAAACACCGCCGCCGCCACCGCATCCGTGTGCTGCCCCGTCCATATGGGGCTCTGCGTGTTCTCCCACTGCACGCCATCGCGGTGGCCCGCAGCCCATCGCTTCACCATCAGCACGCGTTTCGCGCTCTCTCGCAAGTTGTTTCGCCTCCGCTGCGCACTCGCCGGGCTCAACCCTTCGTCGTCATCGCTGCCAGCGGCTGTCGTGGTGGTGATGGTGTTACTTGCGTGCACATTGTTCACAGTTCCTGCCATTCCTGTGTCTGCTTCATGTTTTCCCTGCGATGATTCTGTTCCTCCTTGTTCTGCTCCGGCTGTCTCGCCTTGTTTCTGCGCAGTGTCTGCTGCCGTTGCTGCCGTTGCTGCCACGTTTGCACGGTCGCCATCACCACGCGTGTGCATCTCCTCCCGCACCGCCTCCTCATCAGCGGCCATCGACTCCTGTGTTGCCAGCGACTGGCCGAGTCCAGTGTCAACGTCAAAGCTCCCGCGCGGCTGCCGCCTTTCACGCCCGTCGCCATCGCCACCATCACCACCATCACCACCATTATCATCACCATCATCGCCATCATCGCCATCATCATCGCCTCCACATTCCTTTGCCGCACCATGCCCCCGCTCGCGCCAACCCGTTGCATCGTGGCCACCGGCGCCACTGTCCGGCACGAGTCCCAATTGCACGCGGTCCGGAATGCGATCGAGCGCTGTCAGCAGCTGCAGCACAGACGCGTGCGCAAAGTTGGTGCCGTTCACAGACACAACGCGGTCCCCTGATGATGAAGGTGGCGGTGGTGGTTGGTTGTGGGGGTGGCGATGACGATGGTAGTGGGGTGCGTGAGTATGAACAATACATACAAATGAAGAAAAAAAAAAACACAACACAATCGCAACATCATCACTACAACAGCAAAGCCCATGCACCACAACAACTTAAACAACAACAACGACGACGACGACAACAACAACAACGACGACGACGACATACCCTGCTGAATGTCGAGCCGTGCATCTGCTTGCGACTTTGGGTAGATGAGGCCAACAACGGCACCACTCTCCGTCACCGTTGTGATGGGATCAAAGCGGATGCCCAGAGACCCTTGCGATTTGAACAACGTCGCAATGCGAACGCGCTGTGGTGCGACATCACCACCAACACCAACATCACCACCAACACCACCATCATCGTTGCCACGGTACGTGTGTTTGAGCACTGCCAGACTGGTGTCTGCAACGCTGCCACGGCGTGACGGTGGCGGAAACTCCGCTTGTCGATAGACCGTCAGCACCCCGGACGCAGCGCCCGTGACGAAATACTTTCCCAATGCGGAAAGCGCAAAACAGGACAGCTGGCGTGGCGGCTCCTCGCGCGTCAGCGCAATACGCACCAGCTCCCCTGTCCGCGTTTTGATGACGTGGACGGCGCCAGAAGCGTCACAGGAGAGGACCACACGCAACACGGGGTGGAACTTGCATCCGATGATCTTGGACATGTGTGTGGCGTGGCGCCAAATGCACAGTTCTTCCAGCTCCCCAGCCTCCGCACCGCTGCCACACGTGGTGGTGGTGGTGGTGGTGGTGGTGGTGGTGGTGGTGGTGGCATGGGAAGCTGTGGCTGCCGTAGTGTCGGTGCTTGCTTCTGCTGTTGTGTCCGTGGTCGCTGTGGCTGCTGCCGTTCGCTTTGGCACGCGCCACAGCCGCACGGACGTGTCCGCTGAACCAGAGACAACCAGGCTTGCGTCGCGCGAAATGTCGCACGCGTCCACGCGTTCGTTGTGGCCCTTGAGGTGCGCCAGCGGTTGAAGCGTTTTCATGTCAAACACGAATAGCGTCGTGTCGTTGCTGCCAGACACGCACAGGCCGTGGTCTTCGTTGCACGCGAGCGTGAGCACCCACGACGAGTGGCCGGTGAAGCGTGCACGCAGCGCGAGCGTGTGACGATCCCAAAACCGCACGGTGGCATCGGCAGATGCGGTAAAGACAGTGTCCTTGAACACATGACAGCTGAGGATGGAGGTGGAGTGCAGCAGCAAGGGCAGCTCGCCACCTTCGCGCGAGGAAGTGCTTGTTGTTGCCATAGCTGTCGTTGGTGTTGTTGCGGCCGCTATTGTTGGCAGTTGTGGAACAGGGATGGCATGGCTGCGCTGTGATGGCGGTGCTGAGGAGGCAGTGCTCAGTGCCGTCTCAATGTCGAACAACTTGATCGATTTGTCCTTGCTTCCACTCGCAAGCAGCCTGGATGGGGTCAGTGTGACAGTGGAAGTGAGTGAGTAAGCATGTGTTTGTGTCGGGTATGAGTGAGTGAGTGAGTGAGTGAGTGAGTGAGTGAGTGAGTGAGTGAGTGAGTGAGTGAGTGAGTGAGTGAGTGAGTGTGAGTGTGCGTGCGCATGTGTGAATGACTGTGTGAGCGAATAAGTGGGTGCGTGCGTATGTGTGAAACAGTCGATGCAATGAGCAGCAACCAATCAGGCACAATCACAATCCTAGTCCCACAACCACACACACAACCACCGCCACCATCAACAGCAGACGCACCTGCTTGAAGCGACGGCGCACGTGACAGATCGCACGTGTCCGCTCAGTTCCCGCAAACACACGCCGTCGAGAGCAGCCCAGATGCGAACTATGGTGTCGTCACCACTGGAAAGGACAGGAGAAGAGAGAGGAGAGAAGAGAGAAGAGAGAAGAGAGAAGAGAGAAGAGAGGAGAGGAGAAGAGAGAGGAGGAGGAGAGAGAAGAGAAGAGCAAATGGTTTGGGAGAGTAGGGGGTTGCCGAGGGTGAGTGGACTGAGAACTTTCGACTGATGTATGCGAGAAAGCGAATGGAGATGATCAGCAAACACATTGAAACAACATGACATGGAACAAGTTGACGTGATTTGGGCCCAGCAGACAAAATGCACACACACACACACACAAGCAAGCAAAGAAACACAGCGCGGACACCTCCAGTCATGCGGACACACCCTGTGGCAAGGCGGGTGGCGTCAATGGCAGTGACTGTCTTGATGGCTCCTGTGTGGCCAGCGAGGGCGCGGTGCTGCGAATAGCGACCTGTATTGTATCGTGGGGTTGTTGGGTGAGATGTGAGGGAGAGGAGGGCACGCAAGGGAGTGCTGAAGATCATGACACGTACACACAAGTTCACAACACACGCACAAATACACGAACACACAAATACACAACACATGCACACACACACACACTCGAACACACAACACACACACACAACGCATACACACACACACATCACATGCACACACACACACCACATGCACACATACACACACCTTCGTCAAGACTGTAAACAAGCGCTGTTTTTGCGGAGGAAAACGCCAGCCAGTCCTCTGTGCCGCGGGCAAAGCAGCATGACGTCACATCACGTAGACCCGTGATTGCCTGCAGGCACGACCCGGCGTCGCCATCCCACACGCGGACGGATATTTCATCGCAGGAGAGAACGCGTGGCGTGTATGTAGCAGCAGCGACACAGCGAACGCTGCCACGATGGCCAGTCAGCTGATGCGCAACAATGCCAACGCCACCACCACCATCACCACCGCCGCCGCCGCCGCCACTGCTGCGAACATCAGCGTGATACTTCGCAGCAGCAGCAGCTGTTGATGAAGATGATGGTCGAGGTTGCTTGACCGCTTTCTGTTCAGCACGAGGGCTGCAGTGTGCCGATTGTGGCAGCGCCAGGATCATCACCTTCTTGTCGCCCGTGCCAACAGCCAAGCGCGCACCATCGCACATGAGGGTAAGCGACGTGATGCCGCCCCCTGCTTTGAAGAGAATGCTCGAGTCGCCGCTGGACGCGTTCCACACCCGCACCGTCTTGTCCTTCGAGCCAGAGAACACACGCAGCCTACCTGCCGCACCGCCATTACCACTCACACCGCTGCTGCTAGTGTTACAGTCAGCAGTACTGCCAGTGCGTTTCGCAGACCCCGTGTGCGTGCTTGTCCCTGCTGTTGGCACGCCGGTGATTGACACGCTTCCACCACTGCCCTGTTGTTGCCGATCATCGTCACCATTTGCACCACCGCCACTGCCACTGCCGCTACCCTCAACACCATCACCATCGCCACGACGTGCGATGCCACGAGCGAGGGTGCAGCAGGCAACGCGCTTGGTGTGGCCGCGAAGAACCGTCACGTCTGACTGCGTGTCCACATCCCACAGAATTAAGCTATTGTCGCTGCTGCTGGACAAGAGATACTGTCCGCCATCACCACTACCATCGCCACTGCTGGCATTGCCACTGCTGGCATTGCCATCTTGTCGTTCGTCATCATCGTTCAGGAGCAAACTCACGTCTGTGACGCCTGCGTCGTGTCCTGTCAGTGTCATCAGGCACGGGTCTGTGCTCTCCGGCTTGTTTTCCCACTGGAAGAACAAGTGTTGTTTCGCCTCGTGCATGTGGTGCGTGCCTGCAGGCAACGGCTGCATGGGTCTGGCTGGGGTAAGCAGCTCGCGCGCGTGGAAGGGCGTGGCCGCTGTCAGCTGCATCTGTGACTGCTCACGTCCCTGCCGCAATCGTTGCATGGATGGTGAACGCGGTACCATTTTATCGTTGTCGTCACCATCACCGCCACGCTGCTGCTGTCGTTGACGCACACCGGTGTCTTTTGTGTCAGTCTTACCCAGTTGCTGTTGCTGCTCTTGCTGTTCGTGTTGCTGCTGTTTCGTGACCATGCGCGTGACCGTGTGCTGGGCTGCCTGGTGCACGGGCGATGCAGTTGGGCGGTTCAGTGCCGCCTGCAACAGTGTCGTCTTGCTTTGTAGAACGAGCGCAGCGGACGACTTGACAAACGTCTCAAACGGACGCAGGTCCTCAACCACGGTTGGCGGTGTTCGTGCCACTGATGACGATGATAATGATGATGGCAGTGGTGCTGATCGTGTTGTTGTTGTTGCAGTTGAAGTAGTTGTTGTTGTGGTTGTCGTTGCAGTTGAAGTAGTTGTTGATGATGATCCTGAATGTGGCAGTGTGGTGCGAGTGCCGTCGAACGTTGATGAAACTGCCGCTGATGATGCACAACTCAAGTGCATGTGCGTGTGCGCGAAAGCGTCGTGTGCGGACTTGAAATCCCTCACAAGCTCAGTGATGCGTCCCGCTCGCGCTTTTGCATCTGACGGGGGAGACGGTGTGGTGATGGAGGTGAGTGCTGATGCTTGCGTATGTACATCTCACACACACACACACACAACACCCATACGCACAAACACACAAACAAACACGCGCACAACACGCGCGCACACACACTTCCCAAACACCCATACGCACAAACACCCATACGCACAAACAAACAAACAAACAAACACGCGCACACACACTGACTGCTGCACGTACCGAGAAAGTCTGGGTCTGTCAAGTACATGTGCACACGCGCGGCGTCGCGGCAGGCAATGAGGTGCAGTGGAAGCTCATCAACCTTCCTGTCGTTGGGAAGACCACGAATGCGTGTTGGCTGGTGGCGCAGGGCACCCGCAGCGAGCAGCGTGTCGATTGCATCATCAATGGCGTCGCTGGACGGGTAGCGAAGGCGCACGGGCGGTGCTGTCTTGCCAATGAAGTAGGCTGCCAAGTGTGTATGCGTCGCGAGCACAACACCCACGCCACTGTCGCCACGATCAGCTGCGGTTACATTAGTAGCGGCTGTGATGGGAGCAATCGATGGTTTGCTGTTGGTTGGAGCTTTGTCGCGTTGACTCGCGCAATCACCACCTGTGGTGTGGGCTCGCTGGCTGGCGTTATCTTCTTGCTTCTGTCGTTCTTGTTGATCATCACTGCTGTCGCTGTTGCTTCGCACCATCTTCGCTCGCTTCCTCGCCTGCGTGTCGTTTTCCTTCTCCTCAACGTCTTCCCCGTCGCCCACACGTGTTGTTGGTGCTGCTCCTGCCATCGTTATCATCGTGATGGCAGCGGAGGAGGAGGAGGAGGAGGTGGTGGTGGTGGTGGTGGTGGGATGTGTCTCCGCCTTGTCCTGTGCTGCTTGCACCATTTCAACCTTCCCCACACCACTGTCACCACCACCACCACCACCACCTGCACTGCGATCACCATAACTGGCACCACCACCACCACCACCTGCGTTACGATCACCACCACCACTGTCACCACGCGCATCCCTGTGCGCCTGCACCGCTCGTGTGCGCGCGTGGTGGATGTACTTGCGGTGGACGGCTGCTGCAATGTGGCTGTGGGAGAAGGACGCGCGGCCGGAGCGAATGGAGACAAGCGGTTTGATGTTGAACAGCAGCGACGACCACAGCAGATCATAAGCCTGGCGGACAAGCGACAGATGCAATTGGGCGATGAGGGACAAAGGTGTGGAGGTGTGGTGGTGTGAGGAGGGGAGGGGTGATGTGATGTGACAGAAGGGCGAACAAGCGAGGAGGGGGAGAGAGAGAGGTGGTCAAGTCGATTGCGGGCATTCCACTTAACATGAACGCACAACTCGCGCACACGCTCACATGCAGATTCACACACAACACAACGTGCACGCACACAACAAGTGCACACACGCACAACCCCTTCAAACACATGCCCACAATACAGCACAGCGCAGTGCAGCGCCCCAACTCACGCTGTCCGCAAGGCCGAGGAGATCTCGGAGCTCCGTGCCGGGGATGATGCCGCTCCGCGCACACGCAATCAAGCGCATGCTGCGGGCGACCACGTTGCTTGCAAGCAACGTACGCACGTGTGCAAAGTTGGCGTCGATGCGACAGAGAATGGTCTCCAGAAGCGCCTCTGTCGTCTTGCACGCGGTCAGCTCGCTCACCTTCCTCGAGAGCGTGCTGAACTGCCCAAACTGGATCAGCTCATCCAACAGCAGCTGCAGGAACAGCGGGTTGCCCGTTTGCGGATTGGAAATCACTTGCTCCTGTAGATCAGGCGGCAGGGTCTTGCTTGCACGCAACAGCACCTCCGTCACCATGGCTCGGCGGTCAGCTGGACTCAGTGGCGACACATCCACCACTGCCGCGTGTGGAAACGAGCATAAGAGCGCATCCCGGGCAGCCGGCGTGGCAACAGACACCACCACGGTGCATCCGCCGTCCCGCTGATGGCGTGGGGACGGGTGCTGTTGTTGCGACGCTGACTGCTGCTGCTGCTGCTGCTGCCGGGGTGTGTGTTGTTGGTGTTGTTGTTGGTGTTGTTGTTGGTAGTGCTGGTTGGTGGCGGGGTTGCATGGCAGCCATCCGCAGGCCGCGACCTTTCGTCCCGGCAGCCATGCAAACATCTCATCCTCCAGCTTATCAACGCCGTCAATCACCAGCACCGTACGCTGCCTGTTGCCACCACCACCATGACCATCGTCACCATCTGTTGTCTTGCCGCGTTTGCGAGGAGGGAGGTCTGGTCGCAACAGTGCGTGCGGTTGCGGCGGCGGCGGTGGTGCCGGAGTTTGTGCTGGTGCTGGTGACGTGAACGTGGACAGTGTGGTCGGGGATGTGAGTGCGCTTGCTGTACTGCTGGTGGTGGTGCTGGTGGTGGTTGATGTGCTCGTGCCGTCGTTGGAGGGGCGCACGGACTGCAACAGATGCGCGTAGAGGTCTTTGGCCGTCAGCCCAGACACGGTGCTGTGGGCCATGGTTTGAGTGCATGTGTGTGTGTGTGTGTGTGTGTGTGTGTGTGTGTGTGTGTGTGTGTGTGTGTGTGTGTGTGTGTGTGTGTGTGTGTGTGTGTGTGTGTGTGTGTGAATGTGTGAATGTGTGTGTGTGTGTGTGAGTGAAAGTGTGAATGTGTGTGCGTGTGTGTGTGTGTGTGTGTGTGTGTGTGTGTGTTCGTGAGCTTGTAAATGTGTGCAAGTTTGGATGTGGGACTGGAGAGAACACGGTTCCAGTTGTGTGTGTGTGGATGAGGTCGAGGGTGTCTGACCGTCAACGCTCGTTGTGTTTGGCGTCTCAGCGAGGGCGGTGCACTCGTCCATCATCGCTGCCGATGCAGAACACATGCAAGCAATACGGTCGTGGAAAGGTGAGAGCAAGGAACAAGCAAGGAACAAGCAAGGAACAAGCAAGGACAAGCAAGGACAAGCAAGGACAAGCAAGGACAAGCAAGGACAAGCAAGGACAAGCAAGGGGAAGGGAGAACAAAGCATGGAGCACAACGAGAAGGAAGAACAGCATTATACTCACGCATACACATACATACACACACACGCACATAGCACACACGCACATGCCCACCGTTGAGTTTGGCCAGGGCAGCCGTGCCCGGGTGGGCGTATTTGCGCTTCTCCTTGGGCGACAGGTCCATGTGTTCCATCTCCTCATCAAACGCAAAGTCGCGGAAGAACAAGAGGGCGGGGCGCTGTGACCAGATATGAGGGTGTGGTGAGGGTGACGGTGGTGAGGGCTGGGGGGTGGGTGGTGATAAGACGAGATGGAGAAAGGGTATGTGACTGAACACGTTAACTCCCGTGTGTGTGTGTGTGTGTGTGCACAGTGAACAGCCACCAAGCACACACACATACACACACACACACGCACAAACACACACACGCACGCACGCACGCACGCACGCACGGACGCACGCACACGCACGTACCCGGCCGGGGGAGTTCATGAAGCCGTGGCGAAACTCAATCTCCGTGATGGCTCTGTCTTTGTGGTGCATGACCCACGGGTAGTCGGCTGCGGCGCGCTGGAAGCTGTGCAGCACCCACTCGGAGCTTGGGTCGGCGGGATCATAGCACGACCCGTAGCGACGACCGTACATTCCTGCAAAGATGTCGGCGTCGTCAATCTCCTTCAAGCAGATCAGCAGTGTCTCATTCAGCTGCGCCTGCTGTGCAGAGATGCCCCACCTACAGTGCGTGCGTGAGGGAGGGGGTAAGGAGAGTGAGTGAGACAGACAGACAGATAGACAGAGACAGATAGACAGGGAATAAGTGAGAGGGCGAGGAGAAGAGAGGCGAGGAGAGGTGTGGTTGGTGGCTGGGGTGGCTGGTGATCGAGAGACACAGCAACTGCGTCATGCCTCAGCCGTGACGCAGGGGCGGGCATGAAGAAGGGGGGGCTCACCTCAGATCGCACACTTTGAGAAAGACGCCGTGGGACTCGCACATGCCGCGCAGCATGGGCAGGTACTGTTCGATAAACACGTGGCGCTCCCGCTCCATGCCACCAAACGGCGACGACAGGAACACCGTCACGCTCTGCGTCTCCTCCACCTTCAGACGCAGGCGCTTTGTCGCCTTTTCGCTCAGCCGCATGGCCAGCGTGTGCGTGAGAGAGAGTGTGTGTGTGTGAGAGAGAGAGAGAGTGAGAGAGAGAGGCAGACAGACAGAAGGGATGAGAAAAAGGATGAGGAGATCCTAGCGTTCCATGTGCTGTGCAGTCTTGTTCCAGCAGCACGACGACACCACGACACACAAAAATGTTGTGTGTGTGTGTGTGTGTGTGTGTGTGTGTGTGTGTGTGTGTGTGTGTGTGTGTGTGTGTGTC